GGGGTGAGTGCGACACAGCGGATTTAACTTCATCATAGCATTTGTGGCGCGTGATTGGGTAATAAATTTAAGAAATATTTTTTTCTTCTTCTTCTTTATCTTCTAATCTTTATTTATCTTATATACATATTTTTCCTTTTCCTTTTTAATCTTCTCTTTTTTATTTTATTTCCCATTTTCTTCCTATCTTGTATCCTATCCTTTAATCTTTTCTTTATCTTTTTTTCTCTCTTATTCCATATCCTTATTTTTCTTCTTTTATATAATTTTCCCCCTTTCTTTTTCTTTATATTTTTTCATCCACTATCTTATATCATTAAGATATTTTTTTTCCTTTTTTTAAATCTCATATCTTTTAACATCCATCTATTATTTTCTTTTTTCTGATCTTATATCTTTTAACATTTTCCACATTTTTCCATTTTTTTGATAATGATTTACGGTTTCATTAACATCGTGAAAATGGATTTAATTCAGTGATCATAGCTGGACAGGTGTAACTATCAAACGTCAAGACACACATGCTTAAATATATAATATCGGTATCAATCGATCTATATTCGCCCTCATCTGCATAATATATCCCGTGATTAATTATATACAGGTGTTCGTGCAGAGGTATACACATGGATGTATGTGTGCGTGTATGGGTGTATGGACGTTTGCTTAGGCATGTATGTATGTATTTATGTAAGTATATGTATGAATGTATGTATTTATGAATATATTATGATTGTATACATATATGTATGTAAGTATTTATGTATGTATGCATGTATGTATGTAAGTATGTATGTATGTATGCATATGTATGTATGTATGTATGTATGTATGTATGTATGTATGTATGTATGTATGTATGCATGTATGCACGTAAGTATGTATGTACGTGTGTATGCATGTATATATGTATGAGTACGCATGCGTGTATTGTAGTAGTAGTAATAAACATTTCATAGCAACTTACCATAACATAATGCCTCTGCATCTCTGACTTCTCCTGCACTAATTTGTCGGCCTCCAATTTGATACTGCAAAGAAAAGAAAGAAAAAAACAGTTAGATTAAACAAAACAACACACCAATAAATCACGCCAGAATTCCCGACATTACACAACATTTTGAGAAGCGGCGAGAAATCTTATTCGTCACTTCAAAGGCCCCTTCTTTTTCTTATCTTTTTTTTTTTTCTTGGGGGGGGGGGGGGGCTCGCATAATCGGCTTTATCGCCTGCTACGAATTCTGGTTAATCATTCCCTTGTCGTGTATGACCTGTTATCGCCAAACCGATAAGGCTTATCGCTGAGTGGATCTCGGTGTTTTATGATCCTTGAGACCTCATCTCCCCTCCCTCCCCCCCCCCTTTCCCTCCCCCCCTCCTTCCCAACCCCTCCTCCTCTTTTCTGAGTGTTTGTTCAGATTATCCGTGTTATGTGTGAGCTTTCGAGAGGTTTGTGTGCACTTACTCATAAATAGACGTACATACATGCATGCATATATACACACGTATACACATGTATACATACATACACATGCATGAACATATACATAAGTGCACAGACATACATGCATAATACATACAAGCGCGCACACACACACACACACACACACACACACACACACACACACACACGCACATGCATGCCTATATGTATACATATATACATACATACACACATGAGCCACCCACGCCTCAACAGGTATCCACAATCACGACCCCCCCCCCCCGCCCTCCCTCTCTCCTCACCCCCTCCTTCCACACCCCTCCATCACCCCCTCCCTCCACCTTTTTTCCTCCATCCTCCCTCCAGCACCACCTGCTCCTTCCTCCCACACTCCCATCCCCCTTCCCCCCTCTTCCCCACCCCCCATCTCCCCCCTCAACCATCCCTCCTCCTACATTCCAATCCCCTCCCCTCCCTCCCCCCACCTCTCCCCTCCCTTCCCCACCCCACCTAAGGAACATTATTGCTCCCCCTTTCCCCTTTCCCCTTTCCCCTTCCCCACCCACCCTAATCCCCCCCACACCCACCCACACAAAATAATGACCCCCAGACGGCAGAAAATTATCCGGTAATCTCATCCGCAGAAATTACAGTCTCCGCTGATGGCTAAATAACACAGCCACAAAGGCGAAAGGAAACATCAGTTATTTGCATTGTAAAGGTCCACTTCCGAAACGGCGAGCGGCCAATTTGAGACGGATGTCGGGGGAGGAGGGGGAGGGAGGGAGGGGCAAGGAGGGAGGCGGGGATGGGGGGAGGAGGGAAGGAGGGAGAGAGGGGAGGGGATGGAGGAGGCGGGGATGGGGGGAGGAGGGAAGGAGGGAGAGAGGGGCAGGGGATGGGGAGGCGGGGATGGGGGAGGAGGGAAGGAGGGAGAGAGGGGGAGGGGATGGGGAGGCGGGGATGGGGGGAGGGAGGGAAGAAGGGAGAATGTGGGGGGGGAGGGGCGCGACAGACAAACAGACGGATAGACAGTTAGATAGATAGATAGACAGATAGAGAAGTAAACAGACATGAAAACAGACGCAGGCAGAGAGATAGAGAGACAAGTAGATAGATAGACACAGAGACATGCGTACAGATAGACAAAAGGAAAGGGAGGAGAGAAAGAAAGAGAAAGAGATAGATAGATAGCTAAATAGATAGACAGAGAGAGAGAGAGAGAGAGAGAGAGAGAGAGAGAGAGAGAGAGAGAGAGAGAGAGAGAGAGAGAGAGAGAGAGAGAGAGAGAGAGAGGGAGAGAGAGAGAGAGAGAGAGAGAGGTGCATATCGATAATGTTAGTATTTCAACCCGTAAATAATAACGACCATAAAACGTGATAATACTCATAAAACCAAAGTAATAATAGCTTTCGTCACCCCCGCCCCCGCCTCGTCCGGGATATTGGGGAGGGGAGGGGAGGGGAGGGGAGGGGAGGGGAGAGGAGGGGAGGAGAGAGTTGGAAGGGAAGAGAAAGGGAGGAATGGGGAAGGGAAGGGAGGGAAGGGGAGGGGAGGGGAGGGGAGGGGAGGGGAGGGGAGGAGAGAAGAGGGTAGGGTAAGGGAAGCAAGAGTTGGGGGGGGGGAAGGGAGAGAAAGGAGGGAGAGAACGAGAGTAGGGAAAGGAAGGAGAGGAGAGGATAGGGGAGGGTTAGGGAAGGAACGGGAGGCGATGAGGGACGGAAGGAGGGGGGGGAGGGAGGGAGGGAAGATGTCATTTAACACTATCGCTCATACCTTCATAATTCCCCACTAAACCGTCCTATTTGCGGTCGGCCAATGGCGCGCATCTCAAATTCAGTAGATAATAAAGATTTTTTTTTTTTTTCTCTCCCTTTTTTCGGCTGTGAGATTCCCTAGACCCAAGAGGTGGTAGGGGGTGACGGGGAAGGAGGGGGGGGGAGAGAGAGATTAACACTGCATGAGAGAATTTAGAAAAGGGTGCATGATCATCGCGACAAAATTAAAATTTCCTTCAATGTTCATTCCGGTTAAAATAATAATGATCAGAGAGGGGGAGCGGACGAGAGAAGGGGAGGGAGAGAGAGAGAGAGAGAGAGAGAGAGAGAGAGAGAGAGAGAGAGAGAGAGAGAGAGAGAGAGAGAGAGAGAGAGAGAGAGAGAGAGAGAGAGAGAGAGAGAGAGAGAGAGAGAGAGAGAGAGAGAGGGAGAGAGAGAGGGAGAGAGAGAGGGAGAGAGGAGAGAGAGAGAGAGAGAGAGAGAGAGAGAGAGAGAGAGAGAGAGAGAGAGAGAGAGAGAGAGAGAGAGAGAGAGAGAGAGAGAGAGAGAGAGAGAGAGAGAACCGACCCACATAGTGCAAGACGCAGATACAGACAGACAAGAGACCGAGAAACACAGAACAAATCAACAGACAGACACAGAAACACGAGACCGAGACGCACAGACCGATCGACCAACACACACAGTCACACAGTCACACACACACACACACACTTTTTTTTATACTACACCCTCCAATCACTATTTACAGCGAACACAAATTTGGACGACACCCTCGCCACCCCTTCCCCTCTCCCCTCTCCCCTCTCCCCTCTCCCCTCTCCCCTCTCCCCTCCCCCTCTTCCCCCTCTACACCTGCCATCAATATTCATTTAAACAGCTCCCCATGACGTGCAACAAAGACTGCTTTATTAACTCAATTATCTGTTATTATTCCGACCGGGTAAAAAGAAAAAACGAATCGTGACCATCCGGCCTGAAGCTTAAACGAAAGAAAACGAGAATGCACAGCTGGCCCGCCGGACGAGAGGGCAGAATGGGAGAGAGAGATGGGAAGGAAGGAAGGAAGGAAGGAAGGAAGGAAGGAAGGAAGAAAGGAAGGGAGGAGGGAGGGGAGGAAGGAAGGAGGGAGGGAGGGAGGAAGGAAGGAGGGAAAGAAAAAAGGAAGGATGGAGGGAGGGAGGCAAGGAAGGAGGGAAGGAAGGATGGAAAGGAAAGACGGAAGGAAAAAAAGGAAAGAAAGAGGGAGGGAGGAAGGAAAAAAGGATGGTAGGAGGGAGGGAAGAAAGGAGGACAGAAGGGAAGGAGGGAGGGAAGGAAGAGAAGGAAAGGAAGCGATACAGGTATTAAAAAAAGGCATAATAACCCGAAAAAGAGGAAAGGCGAGAGAAAGAAGCATAAACGGAATAACGGGAATATAAGAAACATAAAATGAGAGGGGAAACAGAAGAGGAAAAAGAACTAACATAAAGAACAGAGGAAGTAAGGACGGAAGAGAAGCAGAGAACGGAAGAGGAGAAGAGAAAGAAAGGGGAGAGGAAATAGAAGAGAATTCAAGAGAATAAAAATGAGAAAGATAAAGAAAAAATGAAAGTGAGGAGAATTCAAGAGAATAAAATGAGAAAGAGAAAGAAAGGAAAGAGAGGAGGATTGCAGGGAGTTAAAAAAGAAGAGAAAATAAAAATAAAAGAGAGCTGGGCAGACCTCCGAGAGAACGTTCCATAAACTCCACAGAATGCAGAGCCAGACAAAAGGGTTGCAAAATGCATTTAATTTCACCTAATTTATCGATGGACAAACACGCCCGTTGTTGGAGATTACATGACAGGGGGAGGGGGAGGGGGAAAGCGGGAGGGGGGAGGGGAGAAGGGAGATGGGGAAGGGGTGGGAGACAGGGTGAGGGAGGGAGGGGAAGAGGAGGGGGAGGAGGGAGAAAGAGGGAGATAGGGGAAGGGGAAGCAGAGGGTGGGAAGAGACTGTGGGAGGGGGAGAGGGAGGGGGAGATAGGGGAAGGAGAAGAGCGAAGAGGGAGAACAGCCGCGCTGACCATAACAAATGTTGCATACTAACTATGACTGCAACATTTTTAAAAAGCTGCAGCATTGTCTGAGAGGCACCGAGGCAGCGAGATTTTTCCAAAGCCGTATTTATTCAACGTGGGTATCTAAAAAAAAAAAAAAAGAAAAAAAAAGAAAGAAAGAAAAAAAAAAGATGGGGGGAGGGGAGGAATTTAAGGGAATCCTCTTGTTCCACAGACCTCTTTATCCGGCACGTAACCAATTATCCGGCCGCCCGTCCACGCAACTCATAATACGTGAATTCAAATTGCCGAAAAATCGACGCTTCTCTTCCGCACTCGCTCGCGCCTCGACCGGAATTTGTTTCGTTTTCTCCGTCTCTGTCTCTCTATCTCTCTATCTATCTATCTATCTATCTATCTATCTATCTATCTATCTATCTATCTATCTATCTATCTATCAATCTATCTATCTAAGTCTGTTCGCCAGTCTGGGTTTGTCTCTCTACCTGTCTACCTGTCTGTCTGTCCGTCTGCCTACCCGCCTGTCTGTCTCCCACACTCTCCCCCTCCCCCTCATCCAACCCCTCTTTTCCACCTTCCCTCCACCTCTCTCTCTCCCCTTCAACCCCCCCCCCCGCTCCCCCAACAAACTCCTTCCCCGCTGCAGCCAGGCGAGAGAGAAGAGGTCGGAGCTGCCTGCGTGCGGACTGTGTGTGTGTGTGTGTGTGTGTGTGTGTGTGTGTGTGTGTGTGTGTGTGTGTGTGTGTGTGTGTGTGTGTGTGTTTATCT